AAAAATTCTGGAAAACTAATTCTGTAACCTATCTGACCAGCCCACCTATCTTGCCAAAACTGATTTTGTCCCCTTTACCAATTGCCATTTGGTGCAGGAAATGAATCTTGGCCATGTTTTGATAATATTCTTCCACAACCCACGCCCATGTGGCATGTAGCCAGCCCTAGCCCCAACCGAATTTGGCCCACCCCAATGAACAAACACAATTTTCCTCCTCATTTTGTCCTCCTCCATCAAAAACTTCCAAAGCCATTTTTCTTGAAAAGCCATGTTCAAGTAGACTAGATATCTTATGCCCAAACCACCCCTAAAACCTGGTTTTTTGATCTCCTCCCAACTAACCAAGTGATACTTCCTATGCCCCTCTTCATCACCCTAAAAAAAATTACGTTGAATTGTGTCTAGTTTCTTCGCAATTTTTTTAGGGATTGTAAGGGTCGAAAGGTAGTAGATGAGAAGGTTGGCCAATGTGCTTTTTATTAAAGTGAGACGCCCACCCTTATAAAGAAAGTTCTTCTTCCACCTTGCAAGTTTATTTTCAAACAATTCAATAACCGGTTCCCTAGTGCATTTGTCTTTAAATTTTGCACCCAATGATACCCTTAGATATTTCAAAGGGAACACCATCGATTTGCAACCCAGAACCTTAGCATAGTTGCTGCCATGCCCCTCACCCCCGGTCCTAGCCAATTCAGATTTTAATAGATTAATTTTCAATCCAAAAATAGTCTGAAAATAGTAGAGAATGCATCCATCGCAGATGTAAGAGGTTCCTGTTATCCAGATGACAAAATATGAGGGTGTCATCAACTAAGAACTGGTGTGTAACATTAAGAACATTCAATCTTTTCCCAACCTTAGTGCCTTTCAATAAATCTAGCCATTTGGCCCTACACAGTAAACCATTTAGAGCCTCCATTGCAATAATAAATAGTAGTGGGGAGAGAGGGATCCCCTGCCGTAACCCACGGGAAGCAGAGAAAAATTCAACTGGGCCCCCATTCACAATCACTGCAAAGGAAGTAGTGGAAATGCACGTTTTTATCCAACCCCTCCATTTAGAGTCGAAACCCATTCTACCCAGCATGTAATCAATAAAATTTCAGCTGACATGATCATATGCTTTTTCCATAACCAATTTGCATACCAGCCCATCTCTTTTGTTTGCGAATAAATCATCAACCACCTTGTTAGCGGCCATAACAGCCTCCAAAATATGTCTCCCCTCAACAAAAGTATGTTGAAACTCTCCTATAACCTCCCCAAGAACAGGAGAGAGTTTTTTTGCCAACGCCTTTACAATTAATTTGTACATACAGCTCACCAAACTGATCGGTCTGAAGTCCCTGAATTCATTAGTCCCCCTCTTTTTAGGAATAAGAACAAAAAACATAGAATTAAGAGATTTTACGAACCTCCTCGATTGATGAAATTCATTAAACATGCCCATCACGTCCTCTTTAATTAAATACCAAAATTCTTGAACGAAATTCAAGTTGAAACCATCCGGCCACAGGGCTTTACTCCCATTAGAAACTCTCAAATTCTCCAAGACCTCCTCCTCAAAAAACGATGCCTCCAAAAATTGAATGCTAGCCCCAGTTAAGCTCTGGAAATTCAGCCCGTCCAAATTAGGTTGCAGGACAAAATGTTCTTTATATAGATTTGCATAGAAATTTTTGGCGGCCTCTCTAATTCCATTACTTACTTTAATGACTCTGTTCCCACCTGAATCTCACTGATGTAGTTTGTTCTTCTCCTTTGCGAAGCAATAGTGTGGAAATATTTTGTGTTCCGGTCTTCTTCTTGGATCCATTTCTCCCTAGATTTCTACCTCCATGAAGATTCTTCCACTTTTAAAATCGATGTCAATTTCACTTTCAGTGAGTCCCTTCTTTCTCTGTCTACAACCGTGAGGCCAATATCACCCTCTTTCGTGTCAAAAACATTAATCTACTCCATGATTTTGTTAAATTCCGCGTTCTGTTTTTCTTTCTCCTCTTTAGTCCACTCTTTTATGACACTCTTTATTGCTTTGAGTTTCTGGACAACCCAAAAACTGGCACACCCCTTCACCGAAGTAGTATTCCACACATGTTCCACCAACGATTTAAATTTATCTTCCGTCAACCACCAGTTATCCAGTTTAAACGGCACAGGGCCCGTCGG